TAATTAACCAACCTTTTAATAGACTCATTTTGTGTGTGAAAGAGCCCCAAATTTGGAAAATTCCAAAAGTGGGACATACTTTCAATCTTCCGACAATTTTGTGGACTTTAAAGGGAGCTCTAACAACTCTGGGTAGCTAGAGACTTAGGAAGGCAAAGTATGTACTGTGTTATGTCACATGTGTTGGGAGCTATTAATCCATTATGTACATTGAGCTGTGGCAGGCTTGTTTACTGAGTTTGTGTTTTGCACACCAGTACCTAATCTGCCAAGTCAGGAGGAATGTGTTTATACGGTGGAGTTCACAACAAGTATTTGACTGCTCCTTGACCCTCAGATACAGGTAGGAAAAACAGCTGTTGAAATTAATTGAGTTAAGATCTCTGATGCTCTGTATAAAAAGGCGGAGCTAAAATAAACCGGGGCTGCAGTCTCTACTGACAGTCCTCCCAAGTATCTTTTCTGTCTTGTTTTTTCTTTCATTCCTCACTTCCCCTTTCAGGTACTGTCCGTCTTGGCCAGCTGGCACTGGCACACATGGGGGCTTGGTGGAAGTCTAAGGAACAGTGAGCCAAGGTTGGGATCACTGCAATGATTTCCCAGAGACAAGCTTAGAAAATTGTATGACAGAAGGGTGAGACCATGTGGCCAGAGATGTGGCTGAAGGTTTCCAGGCACAGGCATCTGATAAGTATGTGAGGCAGGATGGGCCCTCCTGGAGATCAGACATAGCTCTGGCATTCTATACATACTGAATTAGTGACTTTTCTTGTCACTGTGACCATATACCTGACAGGAAACAACTTAAGAGGAGGGGTTTATTTTGATTCACTGTACAGTCCATCTTGGTGGGAAAAGCAAGGTGGCTGGAGCAGTTGGAGGTTGCTTGCTCATGTCTCCATGGATGTAGAAACAAAACAGGAAGTAAGGCCAGGCTGTAGACCTAAAGGCCCAGTACCCAAAAGCCCACTTCCACCCTGTTTCTCAAACATTTCACAATCTTCAAAACAGTGTTAGTAGCTGGGGCCTAAGTGTTCAAACACACTAGCCTGTGGGGGTCATTTCTCATCAAACCATGACACAGAATAATGGTGGCTAATATTAACTAAATGGAAATCTCTAAAAAGCCCTTATTTTGTTTTCAACTACATATTTTGGGACAATTTATGTTGAAATTTAGGGGGAAAGGTGGCTTCCCTCCAAATCAGAGGTAGTCCTAACACCGAAGACAGACACTGTTACCATTTTGATATATGTATGTGTAAAAAATATTAATACATATTTTAAAAAGCATTTAACTGCTTTCTACCCTGGAACTTTAGTCAGCTTACAAGTTTCTGACATGTCATTCTATGACATTTAAAGATTTTTATGTGCATGTGTGTCTATGTATGTATATGTTCATGTGTATGGTGGTGTCTGCAGACCGGAAGAGGGCACTGGATCCCCTGTAGCTGGAGTTATAGGCAGGTGTGAGCCACCCAACATGGGTCCTGGGGGTTGAACTCCAGTCTTCTGAAAGTGCAGCCAGTGCTTTTAATCGCTGAGCCATCTCTCTAGAACCTCACATGTTGTTCTAGCAACATATTTTCCCACAAATGAGAGTATAATTAACAGTATGATCTGTATTTTTAAAATTAACAGTAAATCTTGATTTTGCTCCACATTAGCCAATAGAAACCAATCTTATGCTTTTTACAGAAGCATATTGTTAATCAAATACATGTGCAATTACTTATCAAACATGTGGTATTCCATTAATGGACATTTGTTTCCAAATTTTTTGCCATTTTGAGAAATTTTTTAATATACTTTTGGAAGAAAATTTTCTTTCTGTGGTATTTTGAGATGATTTGTGCAGTCATTAAAATTCTTACCTTGAAGCCCTAACTTTCAATACCTCAAAATGTGACTGTACTTTCAGAAAGACCTTTAAAGAGGAAATTAAGTTAAAAATAAAGTGGTTAGAAAGGGCCATACAATCTGACTGGTATCCTTTAGAAAATAGGAAATCAGGACATAGCAAACACACACAAGCACACAAAGGCTGTGTGAAGACATTTGGAAAAGGTGGCTCTGGCAATCTGCAACCCAGAGACCTGAGAGGAAATGAAACCTGCTGTCCCCTTGATCTGGGACTTACGGCTTCCAGAACTGTGAAGAGATTTCTGTTGTTCAAGTCACTCGGCACGTGGCATTTTGTTCCATCAGACCCAGTAAACAAACATGCATAGTAACATGAGTAGAACCACATAGTGAAAAAACCAGAGAGGAGTAACGTTAATCATTTAAACAAAAAAAAGCAAGGTTTAGGGGAAACTACAAGTCTGTGTGTTCCTACACAAATCTTTTGTTAACTGAGGTCTACTTCCACATGCTATATATTAAAGGAAAACGACCAGCGCTTATGGTCCTGCATTTCAACTCACTAGCTCTATTTCCTTTGAATAATGCCAACATTTGTCCTATAAGCTTACCCCTAAATCTCCTTAGCCTGATGTAATGGTTGCTGATTGGCTATTTTGACCAGTGGTGATGATCAGGTCTGAACTGAAGTAGGGCTATGATGCTGTTTCATAACTGCAATCTCTCAATGCTTATTTTCAGCACTCTGTTGGTAGAAAATGCTGTGTCATATATTCAAGTAAACAAAGTTAAACGCCTCAGAATTGATATATCCTAGCTAGCTATCCTTTTCCAAGCCCTCAAACATATAGCTGGAAAATCCTACAAAGGCCCCGTATCACTGTATTTTCAGTTTTCCAGGGACAGATACGACTCTGTCCCCTACCACTGCATGCATTTTTTCCCCAGAGAGAAGATGAGAGACTAACCAATCCAACGAAGCACTGTACCATGTGCATTTTCACTGCTCTGTTCACATATGTTATCTAATCTCCTGGGGTAGCAATTTCTGGTTACACCTGAAGAAATCACAGAGGTGACTAAGCTCCCAGCCTGGACCTTAGTTAACAATTCAAATCTGCTGTAGTTATAAGAACTTACAGTGACAGTATTACATTTATCAGTACTGTCTCTTGGGCTAAAGTTCAACATAAACTAATCATATCTGTAAGTGGATGATTAATTGATCATTGCTCAATACATGGAAATAATGTCAACAGCTTCCTTGAAAGAGAAAATGACCCATACTCTTTGTTTTTTAATTACTTTCATTTTAGTCCCTTAAATAAATTCCTTGAAACAGCCAAAGTCCAAAGTAGCTGTTATTCTTCTTCAGCTGACTAAAGCTTCAAAATCTGGGTTATAGTGAAACTCTATTTGTAAATGGATATTTTTGTTGTTTACAGACCTCTCAAACGTGCCTTGTTCTAGGGAACAAGAGGGACATAGCTATGTGAATGAGAGATACACATAAGAGCACAAGCTCATACACATATAAGCATAAGAACGCCAGGAACTTCCCGTATTCATTATTATGACAGACCATGTTCTGAGTGCTAAAAGTAAACTAAGGATAAAACCAAATGATCTCATATTACTTATTTCTCTTCATAACTGGTACACTTGAAGCCTGATTCTACATTCCCAAATAGCCCAAGTGAAAGTTCAGGATGAAATAAATACGGGGTAAGCAAATGTCTTTGAGGGTTATTAAAAACACAGAGGCAAACCCTACTGGTATAACAGAGAAAAGGGGAAAAATGATGAGAGGAAGCAGCTAGGGAGGGAGGGAGGGAAGCAAGGGCAGAGAGGGAGAAATCTGTCCACGATTTTTTGTTTCTTTAGGAGAAATGCTGTGTAAGCCAGCATTGTGTTCCAACTAACACAGTGCCTGGGAGAGCGTTTACTAAACTCAGACCTACATCGTATGGCTGGATTATTCTTGGGGTTATTTGTGAGACCCGGGGCAGAGTGTTAGTTCCCTACCTCACAGCCGTTAGGTTATTTAACAATATTTATAGACAGTATTTACTTTGTGCCAGGTATAGCTATAAGCACGTCAAATACATGAACTCAATTCTCAAAAACCTCAAGCAGTAGGCATTCCCTATATTATATAAGAGGGCTGTACAGAGGCACCGAGATGTAGCTTTCCAGGGTAGTCCAAAACCAGGACCCGCATTTTCATCTCCAGCCTCTTTTCACTGTTCACACTGCCTGTCAGTAAGCATCGCCCGGTAGGACGAGAACTTAGCAGTCGCTCTCTTCAGGGGAAGGTTTTCTCGCCTCCTACTCCATTTTCCAGGCTCTGACGCCCTTCCCTACCTCACGGAGTAGTGACAGGAGAGAGAAGACTGCACACAGCCTCTGGAGTTTACAGCCATTGCGCACAGTGGCCTGTCCTCTCTAGGCGCTCAGCCTCGCATCCCTCAAGCCCCCCTGCCCCCCGGTGGGAGCACCATCTCTGGGAGGACGGCTGACTTGGGGGCAAGAGCCTGGCCTTCCTCTGGGCAGTGACCTCATTAAGGCCTTTACTTCTCGTCTGGGCCTCGGCTTAACATGGCGGGATGTGTGCTAAGGCTCCTCCGTACGAGCGCGCCAGGACTGCTCGCCCTCCCCACCCAGCTCCTCGGCCGCCGGGAAGTCTGCCCTCCTGGGGGTCCCGGGCTCCCCACGGCCAGCCCTTCCTCTTGCCCCCACACGGGTCACCGGGAGACCCCGAGGCAGCAGGCTGGGCCTTGCGAACCCCGGGGCAGCTGTGGCGGTCACCCAGGCCGCAAGCGCACTAGGCCAGGTGCGCGGCCTCACGCGACCCGGGGTGTGTGTGTTGGGGGGGGTCTGCGGCCTCGGCGTCCACAAGCCAGGCGGGCACGCGGAGGGACGCCCTGGAGTAGCCCTCCCCTCGGAGCAGGCGACTCCATGAGGTCACAAAACAGGCTGGTTTCCACACGCCACGCCGAGAGGACCAGGAACGAGGGAACGCGCACGCGGGAGCAGGGAACGCGGGTTTCCGCGCGCCCCGGTCACGTGGGCCGCAGCACCGCCTGGCGGCGGCCCGCGCGCGCCCACGTCTCCTCCGAAAGAGCAGCACGGGCACGCGCGCCGACGGGGCGGGCGCATGCGCAGGGGGGCGCGCCGCCTGTGCCCCGCGGCGAGGGTGTCTATGGAGAGGCGGCGGCTGCGGCTGCTCCGGCGGAGGCTCAGGCCGTGGCGATGGCGCCCTTCCCTGACGAAGTGGATGTCTTCACCGGCCCACACTGGCGGATGAAGCAGCTGGTGGGCAGCTACTGCGACAAGGTAATGAGTCGCGGGGCCTCGGCGGAGGAGCGGGCGGGTCTCCGGGCGGCCTGGCCTGCCGACTCCCGCCGCCCCCGCCGCCCGCGGCCTGTCAGGCGGAGGCTCAGGCCGTGGCGATGGCGCCCTTCCCTGACGAAGTGGATGTCTTCACCGGCCCACACTGGCGGATGAAGCAGCTGGTGGGCAGCTACTGCGACAAGGTAATGAGTCGCGGGGCCTCGGCGGAGGAGCGGGCGGGTCTCCGGGCGGCCTGGCCTGCCGACTCCCGCCGCCCCCGCCGCCCGCGGCCTGTCACACACTGTCGGCCCAGGTCGGGTCCCGCGTGGGCCCCCCGGCGTGGCTTCTCGCCCGCTGGCGGCCGCTGCAGCCCTGGCTCCTGCTGTACCGCCTTCCGGCCCCTGGGGGCTAGTGGTTTGCAAACCGGGCTCCATCCTCCTGCTGAAGCTTCACTTGCATCCTGGCTCACCTGGCTGAGGCCGCCGAAAAGCAGGGCAGTGCTTATTTGACCTCACAGGTCTCCCCTGGGCTTGGCTGTGCCGCAACCACCCAGGCGTAGCACCTTCTTGTATGGTTATCTTTTTTTTTTTCCTTCCTACTTTTGTTTATCCGAATATTCATTCTATGTAGAGTTTGTGTTACGAGACAGCTGTTCCTGTCTTGGAGTTCCTTTTCCATGGGCTCAGATGAAAGAGGCCTCAGGAAAAGTTGATTTGCCCATAGAACGCTGTTTGGACGCTTAATGCAGAATAGACTGAAGAAACACTTGTGGGGAGAGGTGGGGGGGTCTTTAGTAGGGATCCTAAAACAGTATTAAAATCCCCCATAGTTGTTGGGAAAGGTATATGGACAGCTGTGAACATTCGAGTGGTCCAGTTTGTTGTAAAAATGAGCCAAAAAAATAGCATTTAAAGGTCTGTTATTCAAGCATAGAAATAACTTTTTTTGTGAATTTTCCGAAATCACATAGCGAAGGAGCACCATTATCAACAGCAAGCAGGAGTTGTCTTACAGCCCAGAGGGCTGCTTGTAATGTGCCCAGTATTTTCAGTGCCAGGCCACGCAAAAGACCAGCAATTTGAAGTTTTCAGATCTTACCACTGCCTCAGAGTCATCTCTCCCTCCGTTTTGGGAAAAGGAACCAAAAAAACTACGTCTTGATCAGGGGTAGTTTTAAACCCCGGGACTGTTTAGGATAAGTGGTTCACTTGGTTGCTTATTAGAGGTACCCCGAAAGCTATTCAAAGTCCTGATGCCCACACCTCCACTAAAATTGAAATCCCAGAATAGAACCCAGACATGAAGCAAAATTTCAAGTTCTCAGGTGAGTGTGGGGTGCAGCCGGGGGTGACTGCCCCTTCTGCGGGAGAAGCTTAAGGAATGGCCCAGTCTTGAACAGAAGTGTATAACCTTGAATTTCCCGGTTAGCTGTCTTGTTTTTACTCTTCTATCTTTTGAGTTTTGTTCTTTCTGACAGTATCCTTTATTTCCAGGAAAGGAAATCAGAATGGAAATTAGTGAGGACTAATGAAACCTGAAGTTTTCTGTAGTTTGTGTTGGAAAGAGTCCAGAGAGCCTCTGTGAAAGGGGACTTTTCTTGTCAATATGTTCATTTTCCTAGGAGGGTGCAGATTTCTAAATGATTGTGACCTTCCAGATAACCAAGATTGTAATTTTGTCACATGCTACCCAGCCTCATCTTCCATCTCCCAAGTGCTGTGATTGTAGGCACCAGGCACAGTCTTTATTTCTGTGTCTTTTTCTGGTGGTTGAGAACATTAAAACAGATTTTGAAGATGCACTTTCCTTAAATAAGATTCTTTTCAGTAGTTATTTGTTCTGTCTTGCGTAACTGGTTTAATAAAGCATTTTCAATTTGACCTAGCCTAAGACAAAATTGGCACTGATTTATTCTCAGCATTATTTAAAAAAAAAAACACCAATTCTGAATTAATTGCATATGAGATTATTGCATGTATTCATCAAGAAGATTAAAAGTCCCGTTTTCTTAACTATGACCAAGGCGATTTAGCAAAGGGAAAAAACCAGGAATTTTCGTCATCATTTCTTTTTGATACTGATAGCGAATGGAAATCTTTCTTAGGATGTCCTGTGTGAACAGGAGTGGGAAAGTCAGTGTTTTGTGATAGCAGAATAGCCCTTAAGGTTTAAGAGTTTGTTTGGTTTTCTTAGTTTGTTGTCTTGAGGTTTACCATCACCATCGTTTGGTTGAATAGATTAAGGATCTCTTATCCAAACAGCTTTCAGGAAAGCTGTGCCCAGTGAGGACTAGTCTTTGGTTAAACTAAAAAGCTATGAATTTTTCTCTTTCACTGTATTCCATATTTTTATTACGACAGTCCAAAACTATAAAGTTGACAGTTTTTTATTTCCAATATTAAACCTCTAAAATGCAGTGTATTTTAAAAAATGATTTCTTTGGCCACATCAAATCAATTATTTCTGTGCTTAGAGTAATTTAGTTAGAAGTTTATTTTCAATTTGTTACAGATTATGGCTAAATATTGCTGTGTAATACTGAGTTTAATATTTTCCTTATGGATTTTCTTTTATAAAAGGTCTTAGGGAAAGGTTTTCTACCTGTTAAGCAGACTGCAGGCCTTTGGAAGAGGTGAAAACAGGGCTGTGGCTTGGCTTGTCCCTGAAGTTTTGTAGGTCTGGACTGATTGGACAAGGATTATGTAAGCTGTTGTTGGATCTGGATAGAAACCCAAGTATTAAGGTTCCTAGCTTAATTTTCTTCATATGAAGCCACCATAGTTTCTGACTTGTTTTGTAATAGTCTACTCCAAAATCTCTCTTGGTAGTTTACTGACCTTCCAAATTGGGGTGAGTTTGGTGAAAATTTCTCATTTTCCTCCCAATTGTCAACATTCCTTCCAATTCTTAAAACTTAATTCCATCAGTTCTTGTCAGAATGTGAGACGTAGGCATTGTTCTTCAGGTGTTCACAATTGCATGTGTAATCTCATCTGTGCTGATAGAGACAGCCAAGAGGGAACAGTGGGGGTCAGGGGAAGGAAGCCTATGCTAGGGCCACAGTCAACATTGGGAGTAGTCTCTGAATTGATTTCTGAGAACAGAGTTGGGTAGCCATTGGCAGGATGTGGTTAGGGTACAGATTCCCAGACTTACATGTAGACCAGTTATAAAAATGTTGAAGTAGCAGGGGGTGGTGACACACACTTTTAATCCCAGACAGAGGCAGGCAGATCTCTGTGAAGCTGGTCTACATAGTGGGTTCCAGGCCAGTGGGGGCTCAAAAAGACCAAAAGAAAAAGTTTAATCAGTGGAGGCTTTGGAGAGGTAAGGCTATTGAAATGCCATATACTTTTATCGTTTTGACTTAAACTAAGAAGGCTCAAAATAATTACTTTCGAAAAACTTGAGTATAATCAAATTTATGGTTAGATTTCCTTGTTTTTCTCCTTTTTCCACATTTTGACATTTGGAAAGATTGATTTAGTAGAAAGAATATTGAATTGAGAGCTGAAAGGAACAGGGAGTTTAATGAATTCTTGCTACATACTGACGATACTTCTCTAATCCTCACAAGAGCTCGCTCTGTAAGACAAGTATTATCCCTCATTTAAAAGTGAGGAAACAGTCTTAGTGGTTAAATAACTTGCCCAACTCATTCAGCTACTAATTAGTAGGGCCTGAATTTTAATCTTAAGAATTTTTTCCCATTCTGAAGCCCCTGGTTTTTTGTTTTGTTGCTTATTACTAACGCTGGTTTTATGCAAAACAGTTTATCTGTGAATCATTTTTTCCATCTTCAAATTTGATCAGTAGTACTGAAGTTTCTCCATTGAGTGTATGTCTCGTTTGATTAACTTAAAGTATTGTCTGACCAAATGGACAGAAAATAAAAATTTATTTGGGATAGTAAAGTTTGGGTTCTTACTGTGTATTTTCATATCTAGTCTTGAACTTACTGACTTTAAGTGGCAATATTTTTGGGAATCTGTTTTAAGGCCAGTCCTTATATTTTAGATTGTGCGGTATCTGAGACAGAAAGTCATTTATACATTTTTGTATGAAAAGATCGTGATATTTGTTACTATTTGTTGATAATGTATATCCTGTTCCATATGGGTTCTTGTTGAATTGCTAGGCACCAGCCTATGTTACTGTGTAGTGACATACTACATACTAGAAAGGCTGCTAGTAGCCGTTCTATTCTTCTGTAGACCATTGTTTTTCACAGTATGCCTTAGGACCCACTAATGGATCATAAATCAAATTTGTGCATCATTAAAAAGGAAAGTTAGGTTTGTTTGTTTGTTTTTTTTCCTTTCCTGAAATCTGTTGGCAGTGCTCATGGTATGAGCATCTCTGGGCCATACTTCCCTTTTTCCCTGTTTGTGTGGTAAGGGATGACTAGGTCATAGTGAGCAGTATTTGGAAACTTGTCTGTAGCAACAGTTCTCAGTGAAGCACTGATGACTGAGGGCTGCCTGCATTGTAGGATGTTGTTGTTGTCTTTACACACTAGGTGTCAGTAGCACTTTTCCCTGGTGACAACCTAAACTGCAGATCTCCCCCTTTGTCTCCTGGGGGACAAAGTTGCCATCAGTGGAGAGAACTTTGGTTTAGAGCAAGTATTCTTTCTGACCATTTACTGTCTTGGATCTGAATTTTTATGATTGAGATACTCGTTGCCTAAGTTAGTTAGAGAAGGTTGTCTCTGTTTACTGTGTAGTTCTGTGATTTAGGCAAAATTTTTTCTTTTAGTCTGTTTTTAATCTATAAATCGGGCATGATAATACCTATATTCTAATGCCATCCTAAGAAATAATAGTTCAGAACACCTTGTCTAGATTCCAGCACTGTGTAGGCCTCCTCAGTACGGCCTAGCATTGTTAGTGTCCAGGTCTTCTCTTAATTCAGTCTAAATATTTGACTGTCTTTGAGACAAAATTTTGAGAAAATTATTCATATGAATATATTTTTAAACATTATATTTTATGTGCTGTGGCATTTTTGTATGTTTTTATTTGTGGTACTGGAGGTTGACCTCAGGTTCTACCACTGAGCCACCCCAGCGTGACTAGACTTTTAACTGTCGGCTTTTGGTGCCAGGTTAAAGTTAAGCATTTGTACTTTCATGTGGGAAAATTGACCTGGGTGGTATCTTGAGGACCTTCTTCTCACTTTTTTTCTTTGTTTTTAACCTTGTCTTCATTTACTCGTATGTCAACACATATGGAGAATTTAGCACAAACGAAACTTTTCTTTACCTGTTGTCTAAAAATTTTCTCCCAAGAATGTGCTTTTCAAATCTGATTACTGTTTTCTAGCTTTAATGTATAACTGACAAAATTATATAAATTCAAGATATATAATGGTATAGTATAAATAGACATTGTGTAGTAATTACTAAAATCTAATTAAGCTATCCGTTGCCATAATTATGCTTTGGGTATTGGTGGCTTTGCGGGATAAGGTCACTTAAGTTCTACTGTCTTAGCAAATTCCAAATAATAGAATACAGTTTTGTTAGCTGTATCAACTTGAATGTGTTGCTTACTTTTTGACACTTAAAAAATTATGACTGTTAATGCTTTTTATTTATGTTATGTCTACTAAGAATTTTTTTTCTTCTGGGAGTTGGGACTAAACTCACAGCCTTGTGCTCGCTAGGCAAGCACTCTACCACTGAAGTATGTCCCTATCTGCTATATGAAGACTTTTTAAGGGTCCCCCTCCAGCCACGCTAAGCAGAATAACCCATAGTGCTATTTTTGCCCATTAGCCACTAAGGAAGCTTGTAAACTGATGTGATGTTTCTGAACATTCTTAAAATCTAAAGTGTGAATTTCAGCAAATCTGTCCTCCGTATTGTTTGTTCCAATTAAAAAAAATTTATGTGTATGAGCATTTTGCCTGCACATATATAAATGCATCCATGTGTGCTAATGCCCATGGAGGCCAGAAGTGGGTGTTGGGTCCCTCAGAACTGGAGTTCTAGACTGTCCTTAACCACCATGTGGGTGCTGGGAATTGACCCTGGTCCTCTGCAACAGCAGCCAGTACTCTTTACTGCTGAGCTATCTCTCCAGCCCCATATTGTTTTTAATATGGGGCAAGAGCTGAGGTATTTTTACATCGTTACATATTTACAAATGAGAGTATATTTTGTGGCTTGTACCTTAAATTTCAGTGTCCATAAATATGGACTATGTCCATGACTATGATTCCTTTTGTGTGTAGCGGTGAGTTAAGTAGTTGCTATGGACTTATGCCCTAGGAAATTTAAAACATGTTTACTGTCTGACCCTTTACAGAAAAAGTTGCCAACCCCTCCACCTCAGCACCCCCCCCCAAAAAAAAAGAGAAAAAAGGCATGTGTGGTGGCACATATCTTTAATTCCATCTTAGCACTCTGGAGGCAGAAACAGGTTGATCTCTGTGAGTTCTAGGTCAGCCTGCTCTGCATAGTGAGTTCTAGCCAGCCAGGGCTACATAATGATACCCCATCTCAAAAAAAATTTAGCCAACTCCTGCTCTAGGATGATTTTTTTTTTTTTTCTTTTTGGTCTTTGTCTTTTTGAGGCAGGGTCTTCCTGTATCCTCAGCAGGACTGGAACTCAACCATGTAGACAGGGCTAGCCTCAATCTTACAGAGATCCATTGGCCTGTCTCTGCCTTCCAAGTGTCTTCTCTTCATAGACTGTGGAGTCCTTAAAGGTAGAAATTTTCATTTTGTTCACTGTGTACCAGGAACAGTGCCTAGTCCCTTGCTTATCGTAGCTCATCGTAGCACATGGGATATTTGAATAGCATAAAAAGCATATGAATTTATAAAAATGAATATTTATTTTTTAGAAAGATGATCACTCAGAATTACCACTCAAGCATGTAAAGTACAGGCATTTTATTCCCATTTAGCTTCAAGCAGAAATAAAGATATTGAGAGAGAAAAATTACATAGGTAAATAAAATGGTAGTGCTGGATCTCAGTTAAGGCATCTTGACTCTAGGATTGGGTCTCCATGTCTTACTATTAATCCCTGCTGCTGTTACAGAAACTTCTTAGTTAATTCTATTATGTGTAGCTTGGTTTTCCTTCAGGAGTTTGTATGTCACCTTTCTCAGTGCTCTCATCAGAGTACAGTTCTTGCTGTGAAAAGGTTGACAGTGTTGAGCGCATGCCATGTTGGAACACTAGACCAAGCTTGAGGAAGCAGGTGTAAGAAGTGTGGCCTTTAGCATTTGCCCTTTATTTTATCCACCTGCTGTATTTAGTTTGTTTCCCTTTAAAATGAAGTTTGAAACTAGAATTGATATAATGGAAGTTGTATTCAATTCAGATAATAGAGGATTTGACTGTTTGAGTTTTAACTTGAAGCAAATTTCTTGATGTGTGTGTCTTAAATTTTAGAATTTAATTTTCTACCAAGTGTGGTAGTTTAGAATTATAGCAAAAGAGGAGTTTTTCTTCCGTTCTGTGTCTTTCCTTCACATAGATTTTCTTCTTCGTGTTTGGTTCTGCACTGTTGTAATGTCTCCAGCCCAGAAATTAAGCAAGTTCTTATATAAGCTCTTAGCTATTTATACTAGTTTTCTTAAAAGTTCTGTTCTCTTACATTATCTAATGTTCTAATTGCTCAATATTTTATACTTGTTTCCTGAACAGATCAGCTGCATCTTGACATTAAAACTTAAACTGTGGTGGAATATCTTTGAGTTTTTAAATTGTGCTTGTTGTGTAATGGCATAAAGGACATTTTGAACAGAGGGAAAGAAACGTGTTATTCTAATCTTACTCTTCTGTGACTGAGGAGGCCTCCTTGATGCACCTGCCTGTGCTCATGACACAGCCAGTAGAAAAGCTTGAGGTTTGGAGGGAACTCGGCCTGATCTTTTCTATTTAAATAAACTCTATCACTTTGTGGGACCCCCCCCCCCATATCACCAAGTCCTTGAGAATTCAACATCTTCCTGGCCTAGTGTACTTTTAAATTACGCAAGTATGATTTGTTATTTTATGAAATTCCTTTATTTAAACGTTAATAGAACCAGTGTGAGGGAAATACCATGCTTCATGCAAAAGTTTAGGGATACGTTTGAATGTTGCTTACTGTTTCATGTTTGCATCTATTTATGCCCTTCTTTTTGAATTTTTATTCAGCTTTCTAAAACCAACTTTTCCAACAACAACGATTTCCGAGCTCTTCTGCAGTCTTTATATGCTACTTTCAAGGAGTTCAAAATGCACGAGCAGATTGAAAATGAATACATTATCGGTTTACTTCAACAACGCAGTCAGACCATTTATAATGTACATTCTGACAATAAACTCTCTGAGATGCTTAGTCTCTTCGAAAAGGGACTGAAGAATGTTAAGGTGAGTTGTGAAAATTGTTAATGCAACTTACAAATTGTGCCATTTTCTGTCATTAGCAATTTATAGTAAATGGTATTATTTTAAGGAAAAGTACTTCACTAAAGATGGGTAGGAAGACTGTTCATGAGGGATGACTGTAGTAGAGGCTTGAGGTTCAGAGGAGCTAGAGCTCAGCTCCGAATGCAAGAATAGGTTCATAGCTGAGAAGCAAGGAGGGACCAGTGGAGAGAAAATTACTAAGAGAAACCATCAGGGCCATAAGGATTCTTATTGTATCAACTGAACAGAGATTTTGCTAAAGACAGGCCAGGGCAGTAAGTTATTGAGAACTGAGGGAGGAGGGTAAGCAAGCCATTTGATCAGATATTGAGGTGGTCACACACCAAGGGTAGAGACTTGCTAAACTGACTGAGCAAGATTCTTACTAAAATTGAACTGAGAAGCTGAGAACAGAGGCTAAGGTCAGACCTAGTTGAGAAGAGGGTTAAGAGTAGCATGGCTCAGGCCTCTATTAATGTTTAATAAAATTTTATCATGAATGCTGACTGCCAAAATTTTTAAAGGTGTTTTGTAAGTTGAAATTTTAATTACCATGAAATTGTTATAGACATGTGCTGAATAAGTAAAAGAGAGCCATTAATGCAGATATTGATGACTAAAGGAATAATTGTTGAGGATAAATAACACTTTAGTGTTATAAATTTTACTTTAAAATTGAAGGTAAGGGATGTGGCTCAGTCGTCGAGTTCTTGCCTAGCATGCATGAGTCCTTCAGTTTAGTCTCTGGCACACACACAAAAAATGTTTTTGAATGGCAGCTGTAATGTCTACCTTATGTTTTTTTCCCTTCTAGGAAGGAGAGTGGTTAAAGAGGCTGATTTCACGTGTATAAAATGAAGAATGTGCATGGTGGTGGTGCTTGTCTTTAATCCCAGCAGTTGGGAGGGAATGGCAGAAAGGTCACTAGTTTGAGGCTAGCCTGGGATACACAGTGAGATCCTATCTCAGAAACAAAAATAAAATACTAATAAAAAAAGAAAATGAATTGTATTTTGAGTGTAGTTTAGGATAATCATGTATATTTATTTTCTTAGAAGATACTTGAAATTTAATCCTAGTTTTATTTCCCTTTCCGCTCCATGAAACAGGAGTAAGTTACAGCTTTCAAACCACCATGTATCTTTCACTTAGAGATTTTGTTCTAGAAAGGTGATTCAGTGGGAAGGAGGATGGATTGAAAGAAAGAAAATACTTGAGCCAAAGACCATTATTAAACTGTGCCAATAGCCTCTGGAATAATACGTGGTAGCGACCTGGTGGGGAGGTGGTAGGTTAGGTAGGAGCAGTGAACTGGGCAGTAAGGAAGGAGATTCGCTTTTCCTGTTGAGTGCTTCTTTGTACTCTTCAAGTTTTGTATCATATAATGTGTAATATAGTCAGTAAGTGCTGGCCAGGTCACATTTGAGCTGCTTAGGTAATACAAATGCACATTTATTGGTAGGAGAAGGCATGGATGGATTTGAAGAGCAGAAAGGGGGAGTGGTATAGCAAAGAAAATTTGATAATTCTTAATAAGTGGAATTGGAAGCCATCTGGGTGAATAAGCTTAAGAATGCCTAAAATCTCAAGAAAATTCAGCATGGAGCTGAACATTGGAAAGTAATCAAATTTTCTCAAAAGAGGAAACAGGACTCAAGAGGGATAATATAGAGCCATGTTTTAAAATATCTCATTATTTGTAATTTTCCACATTTTAAAATTGAGAGACACAATACAGAAGGGGTAGTGAGTTACAAGAAGTGATTTTAATCCATGTGAGGAAGAACTGTTCAGGTGGTGAGAGTTGTCCAAAATCAGAATCGTTTGCTTCAAAATGCTTTGAATTCCTTGCCTTTAGACACATTGGCACTAATGTATGTGATCTGTTAGGATAGTATAAAATGTATTATGAATTTTTTAGTGGGAACATACTAGATTAGATTGTATGCTAATATCCCTTAAGGAGAGCCTATAATGGTAACAGTCCAATAGGATCTTAAGAGTTTGGAGATAGAGAAAATGGACGTATAGATGTACAAATCAGAATCAGATCAACAAATTTTGAGTAAGTACTTGATATTTTTTTATCCTGAAGTTTTTTGTTGAATTTTTAAACTGACCGAAAGGTAAATTTGGCTTCCTGTGCATCATATAATGAAGCAAAATATTAATAGAAGTTGGGGGTTTTTTGCTTTTTTTGGAGGGCGGGCTCAAGGCCTCACTATGTTACCCTGCCTTATCTGGAGCTTGCTATATAGGCCAGACTGGCCTGGAACTCAGAGAGATCCTCCTGCCTCTGCCTCCCAAATGCTGGGATTAAAGATGTGGGCCACCACACCTGGCTAAATGTGTATTATTATTTGTTTCCAGAATGAATATGAACAGTTAAATTATGCAAAACAGCTAAAGGAGAGATTGGAGGCTTTTACAAGAGATTTTCTTCCTCACATGAAAGAGGAAGAAGAGGTGAGCAAGCAGTTTTTTCTCATTGCAATTTAAATTTGTGAATTTTTAAAACTACTATTTTGCCTTAAGTTCGTCAAAATAATGCATGCAAAGGTATATTCTGTTGATGGAGAGCTGTTTCTATTTCTTTTTGTGAACTGAAATAAAACTCAACGGGAATACAAAAAGCATTAGTATTATTTCTTTAGAAAGGGTGTTATGTTTACTGAATGAATAATTTAAAATCTTTTTTATTTTATGCGTATAAGTGTTATGCAAGTGCACCAGTATTATGCAGCACCCCCTCCCCAAGACCAGAAGGGGGCAGCAGATCTCTTGGAACTGGAGTTACAGACTGTCATTAGCCACCTTGTGGGTGTTGGGTCCTCTGCAAGAGCAGCCAGTGCTATTAATCACTGAGCCACTTCTCCAGCTCCCTGAATGAATGATTTTATTTACTCAAAAAACACATACTTTTCTCATGTGTTGATAGCACTATATGTTAATAACTGTCACCCGATATTATTTTAGAACCTTTAGAAGATTCTGTAAATCTTAAAATAGTTTCTGTATGCCAAGTTTAAAGAGTTTTTAGTATTTTTTTCCTAGGGGTGGACTTGAGTAATGGGTTGTTTTAAATTTATCAGTGTATGCCTAATACCCATATATTAGCATATCATTAAACAGGCAAAACATTTACTCTCCTTCCTGTAATCAATTAGGATGAGCATCCAAGGTTAAGATACAAAATAGTCTATGAGAACTGGATTCTTTTTTTTAATGAGAGAGAGGCGGGGGGGAATGCATACTATAGTGCATGGGTTGAAGTCAGAGAACAATTTGCAAGAATCGGTTCTCTCCTTCCACCAGGTGGGTTATGGGGCTTGAACTCAGGTCATCAGGCTTGGCAGCAAGCACCTTTAATCCACTGAGCCATCTCATTGGCCCCCTGGCACTTTTTTTTTTTTTAAAGCGGTAAATCAGTTAGTGTACGATTACAACTATAATTTCACCATATCATTAAATTGATAATGAAAAAGAAATGTAATCTACTTTCTCAACTCTTTTCCAGGACAATCAAATTAGGTGGGAAGCATTGAGTTTTTCATTGGTATTTGATGATATCTCATTGTAGCTATTTTTTACATTGTAATATATAGCCAATGCTGAAATCAAGGTTAATAGAACAGTGTTTCTTAACCTGTGATACCAATCAAAGATATCTATGAAACTGAAAAACAAGAACAGCAAAGCCTTGGTTCTTCATTTAAAGATTCTAATTCTAATTCTGTAAATTACAGGATAGGACTAAACATCTTTTTTTTGCAGAAGAAATCTCTGAATAAGTTTCATAGGAACCACTGTACTAAAAAATAATGATGTGAGGAAATAATGTTGGATAGTTTGAAATGTATTGTGACTGTGTGGGTCCACTGTATTGGGGCCCATGCTTATTTAAGGTAGAAGCACTGCTTGGGTAAAAATCAGTAACTTAGTACCTACCAGAAGGCAGTTAACTGGTCTGAGAGTGCCAATAACAGAATGATCGAATGTGAACAAGTTTGGTATAGGAAAACTTTTTTGTACTTTAAATTTTTCTAGGGGCCTGACTTACTTGCTGAAAAAAAATCATAGAAAAAAATCCTTTGGGTTATATTCTTTACAATTTTTGGATAAATTAGTTTCGTGGCAATAACTGAAGTTTCTCTTTGAAACACAATTCATAATACTATAGTGGAACAGTTATTAGAGGTATTGAGTAAAAGATGAATTGAAACTCTTTGTGAACATTTTGTTTAATTTAGGTTTTCCAGCCCATGTTAATGGAATATTTTACCTATGAGGAACTTAAAGATATTAAAAAGAAAGTGATTGCACAACACTCCTCCCAGGACACTGCAGAACTCCTTAGAGGTCTCAGCCTGTGGAATCAAGCTGAAGAGCGCCAGAAGTTTTTCAAGTATTCAGTGGATGAAAAGTCAGATACAGGTGAGATTCCTATATTTCTACAGAGACCAGTTTATTCATTCAGTGCTGTTGACAGTTTGTTTAAAGTTACAGATTTTGTTCAAGGAATAATTTAAGTCAGCCTTGCACTATAGTCACTTGGAGTCATTGTTTTTTTCCACTTATAATTGAAGATAGTTTCTATTTTAGAATTCAGTGTTTATAATACTCTAACATCTTATATACATGGGTTAGATGTAATATTTTTTGAGTGAATTTATAGGCATACAGTAATTACTACTTTGATCAATCAAAATTGAAGATTATTTCAGTGTTAATTACAGTATCCACCAACTTTCTGAGCTCCCTTAACATAGTGGCAGCTTTTATTTTTGTGATTTTTTTTTTTCATTACTTTTCAAAGTCAATTAATTTTTAAACATGGTTCCTGACTGATTTATCATGGTTCGACTTAGAAGTTTTGGATTTTGTAATGGCATGTATGTAATTTCCATAGTTCAGTTTTGAATTTTGACCTTTTTCTGCCTAGTTAAGTACTGTATGCACCTTTATCAATGCTGGACAGCAGTGGTATGCCATAGCTCCTGGTCACCCAGGGGATCTTCAGGGAAATAGCTATGGTGTTGAGCGGGTTGTGTGCACTTTTGGTCTTGGACATATTTACCGTAGGGTGTGTTTATTGGATGTAAGTTAAAGAAAGAAACATACGTAGCTTTATTTTTATCCTTTGCTGTTTATCATTCTCCCAGTTTATTTCCAGTATAGTATTCAGGGCAATGAAAATGAGAACCAAAGCAAAGCTTTTCTGTGTGTACTTGGAGAATGCATACAAGAAATACAAATAAATGCATGCTGCCATTTTAATGGACTTCTTTATTTTATTCTTATTTGTCTCGATAGCTTTGCTTTTAAAAAAATCTTTAAAAAAACAGTTGATGTCCTTAGTCCAGCAAAATTCTTTTGCTTTTTTTAGGTGGGTATTAGCAATGCTGTTCTGTAAAATATACTGCAATTCTTTGAAATTGATGCTTTTTTTGATATTTTATTTAGCAAACTAGTGAGATTCATGTTTAAACAAGTGATTTTATAAGTTGAAGCTGTGATTAAACCCATAAAACTTGTAAGCTTTTCTCTGAAATACAGTTTGTGCCCTAGATACCATGCCAAGACCTGTTGTGTCTTGTTTAATTATAATGTGGAGCTTAAAAGCATCACACTACATTTAATTTTCCCTCTGCTTCAAAGCAAATTATAGCTGCATTATGTTTAAAATATTTGGTATTTTAAAATTGGCAGTTTAAAGTAGTTTGATCATAGTGCTTCTATATTTAAGGTTCTTTGTGAGACAAATCAGATATACAAGATACTCAGATTTTTCATAGTGCTTGGGTGAAAATTCATTCTTTATCCTAACAGCCCATTTTAATTTTTCTTTCAGAAAAATACTACAAAATTAATAGATCATAGGGAATTGTGTGTCTAATGACTTTCTATAATAGTTACTGACAAAATATTTCTTATCAGTACATCAGGAGTAGTTATGTTTACTAGGATGGCACATAGTTTGATTAGGTTAAGCTGTCTGTAGACTAATCAGATTTCCTGGACCTTTTATATGAAATGTGAACATCAAAGATGGAACCACAAGGAAGGTACTAACAGGAGCCATAGTACATGAATAGAAAATGTGAGGTTTGTGTGTGTCATTAACAATGTCTGGAAGATCTCATAATCTGTCTGACTGTACACTTGCCAATTTAAAGCTGTGTAACCTGTTTGGTTCCTTTTTCAAATGATGATACCTAGGCTACAAAGTGAATATTGTTTTCTCTATGATGCCTTTGTAAGAGGAAGTCAGTTCTGTGTTCATTATTGTAGCTCCCACTGATGAAGTATGATCTGGGCCACGATAGTTTAACCCTACAGGTTCTTAACAAGTTTAACATTCCCATGTTCCCTCTAATACATGTTATTTCCTTTTCACATCTCGCAAGCAGGAAGGAATTAACTTCAGGCACTGGCTTTTAATCATGTGGTTGTAATTTCCTACTGCATTTGCTCATGTAGCCTTACTGTTAAACGTTTTCTTTTTTATTTCAGAAGCAGAAGTGTCAGAACACTCCACAGGTATAACCCATCTTCCTCCTGAGGTAATGCTGTCAATTTTCAGTTATCTTAATCCTCAAGAACTGTGTCGATGTAGTCAAGTCAGTACCAAATGGTCTCAGTTGGCAAAAACTGGATCCTTGTGGAAACATCTTTACCCTGTTCATTGGGCCAGAGGTAGGTAAATGGTACTTTGAATTTTATTAAAAATCATTTCAGTCTATCTTTCTAGGTGAATGGCAGTCATTAATTAGTAAGGCCAGGAAGGGGAAATTTTGAGAGCTTAACCAAAAAGTAGATTTTATAGTTGATGATGTGATTTGGGTATACATTTTAGAAAAGAGCACTGGTGAACTATTTGTGAGTAAATTATATAGTGTCTACTATTTCCTTAAAAATACTTGGGCAAAATAGAGAGAGTGCAAAAAATACTGGCTAAATGTTGATCACTTGTTAAACATAGGAGATGACTATGCTTAGAATTTTTCATAGTAGAAACTTAAAACTAAATGCAATAGATTTTTTAGAATTATTAAATAGATTATTTGAGTACTTTAAAAATATGGCATCCATTTTATTAAAAATAAGAAGTTGAGGCATGATTATGGTTCCCTTTTGGTCATGGCTTAAAACAATTGAATCTGTTTTTGTCTTTAGCATGTTTTTTTTAAATGGTAGATAATATGTTCTCTAAATCATAATTTCAGATTATTTCATTGTGCTTTCCCATGTGAAGAGTTACAGAACATTTCTTTCTATGAGCATAATATAGTCATGGGATACTTGTAACTGATGTAGGGTACATTTTTCTCTCACTGAATTAAAAGTTTCTTCTAAATATCAGCCTCAAAGGTCATATTTCTTTATTATTTCCGTTTATGGGTCAGTTTACTGTGGATGTATGTATTTCTTACAAAATTTTGACTGATTTAAATTATGAGTCTTGTTTAAATTATGAGTCTTGTTTAAAAAGTGTTTATTTGGTAAAATATGTAGCATTTTTTTTTGAAGTGGTCTTAACTATATATATTGCCTAGGCTGACCTCTAATTCTCCATCTGCCTGTATTGGTCTCCCAAGTGCTGGGATTATCTTGGTATAGACTAATTTTTCATATTAGTTTAGGATAGTAAAATACATAATAAAAAGTCAAAGAAGCCACATACAGATTTATTTTTTTTTTTTAAGACAGGATCGCCTTGTAGCCCCAGCTGGCATGGAACTTGCTATGTAGACCAAGCTGGCCTGGATCTCACAGAGATCCTTCTACCTCTGCCTCCCTCATGGTGGGATTAAAGGCATGTGCCACCATTCAGGGCAGGTACATATGGATGTAACAGTTTTTTAAATTAAGAATTAAATAAACTAGATGGGATGTTACAAAGACCATTAAAGGTAATCTGCGCTAGGATCCAGGAAGTGCCGTGTCTTACATATGCTACTGTTTTTCTGTTTTAAACATATTTAGACAAAACTCTTGAGTACAAATGTTTTTTCTTTATGGTATTTAAGTGTTTTATGCACTGCCCCCCCACCCCAGTTTGAAATGTCTGGGGAGACATCTTTGCTTGTCCTAATTTTGGATATCATACTGTCCTGTGGTGGGTAGAGGCCTAGGTTGCTGCTAAGCACCTTGTAAACAATAGGTTAGCACCCTATGTCAAAGAACTGCCCGGCCTAGAATGTCAGTGGTGGCTAGGTTGGATACAATCTAAGAGCTTAATAAATTGATTTCATTGTGTCTTGCTCACTAACATGAGTCATATAATTTAGTTATAGTATATTCTGTAGGATCTATAAATTCATGATTTCACTTTCCTTTGACTTCTGTTGTACCTACTTCTGCACCCACTTCTGCATTGCGGATAGAGACTGCAGAGTAGAAAGTCCTTCCTTTTATCTGTTAGCTGTCATCGTAATGGGGCTATTGCTGGAGCCAGTGTGAAGCCACAATAGGGGTAAAAAGGTTAGGTTCTTTTCAGTGATTTTTAAAATTATACATACGGGTACTATAATTTTCTTAGAAATTGGATTATGACCATTAAACTTATTTTTATAAAAGAAAAATGTTCAAAAATAGATAACAGGTATATGACAGATTATGTTTTTGTAGTTCTGTGACTTTAGTTTTAGAGAAAGATTTACTTCATGTAGTATCTGCTGTTGATTAATAATCTAGTACTATTAATTGTACTTACATAGTTGTAGCTCTTTGTGTGTGTTTGAAATTGAGTCTTTTGTTTATATGTTTGTAATTTTTTTTTTTTAGCCACAGCTAAATACTTCTAAAAATAGCTGGGTCATTGCCTGGGATATAGATATATTTTGTGTGTAGGGATTTTTACTATAAATAGTTAACGTTTTTTATGATAGTAGTACATCTATTCTTACTTTGTTCCTCTTGTTTATTCATTGAAAGGTGACTGGTATAGTGGTCCTGCCACTGAACTTGATACTGAGCCTGATGAGGAGTGGGTGAGAAATAGGAAAGATGAAAGTCGTGCTTTTCAGGAATGGGATGAAGATGCCGATATAGATGAATCTGGTAATTCATGTTTGGAATTACAATTATTACATGATATTTAAATATAACTGACATTCTAGTTAATAATTATTAGGCTTCAAAATGTATGTATTTCATGTTTCATATTTTCTAAAGATACTTAAAAGATATTTTAAAAGCCTACAACTTTATAACATTTTAAGGAATAATAAGCAAATGTAAAATTCGTCAGAAATGTGTTTTTTTAAATAGAGTGGATTACTATGTTTTTATATTAGAATAAGAAAATGATGGCTACTTTTATGTGGATATAAACTATATTCAGTATAGTGCTTTATAGTTTACAGTGTAATTTTTAGAATTGTTTAATCAGTCCATTGGCATTGACTGAGGTGTCTTTGGCTGAGAGAAGGAAAACATGAAGTTTAATCTGTTTATTCATATGTAAAGTCATCTCATTTGCCTCATAAGGTTTTTGTGGAGTTAAGAAGTAATGTGTGTAAGAAGTTTGGGGTGCATGTAGCCTAGGGTAGAGTGCTTATATAATGTGCATAAAGTCCTGGTTTACTCTCCAGCACTACAAAAAACAGTGAAAACTAATTGTGTTGTATGGTTGTTGGTTTGATTATTTTTCATTAAGTACTATGTGAGAGAGTTTGAGGATAAGAATTTATCTCTACCTTAAGTCAGAAATGGGGAAGAATTTAGAATATATAATTCTTCTTTTAAAAATATTTTATTTATTCTTTTTATTTTATGTGTTTGAGTGTATTGTCTGCATGTGTTTAAGTGTACTCGTGTCATGCAATGCCCATGGAGGTCAGAAGAGAGCATCAAGATCCCCTAGAACTGGAGTTATGGATGGTTGTTAGCAGCTATATGGGTGTTGGGAAATGAACCCAGGTCCTCTGCAAGAGCAGCCAGTGCTCTTAAACACAGGGCCATCTCTCCAGCCCCTACAATACATAATTCTCAATCCAAGGTACATAAAGAAAATTGCTGTAATAGAAATACACAGGTGGTGTTGGGGAGTATGGAGAGACACAGATTCTGTCTTAGATATTTCCTAAAAGATGATGAAAATTGCAGTTGAGAAATTGTAAACACCCCCCCACACACACACACGGAAAATAAGGACTACAGTGATTGCTGTTACTATTTCAGAAGTAAACTAATTTTTTAGTTTTTCATGGAATGAAGATGGCACATTTTGGTATAGTTTTAAAAGCTTGCTTAGTAAGGAAGAGTTTATTTCAGTTAGCGTTGGTCATGGGCTTATCTCTTGACAGGCAAAGGCTGTTTAATATTTTTAAAGATTTTAGTAACTACTACACATTTAAATAGGGAAGGCCACAGGAAAGAAGGAATGGATTAGGAAGAAAAATAGAGTAAGATAAATAAGGGAAGGTGATAGAATTCTCTGTGGTTTTTTTGGTTTTGTTTTGGTTTGTGGTTTTTTGAGACAGGGTCTCAGTATTTGTCACTGGCTGGCTTCTATCTCACAGAGATCTGCCTGCCTCTGCTTCCCGAGCGCTGAGCTTAAAGGCCGGTACTACTACACCCAGTCTATGCTAAAATTCTTAGTTTTATTTAGTGTAGTAGGTTTTCTTTATATCAAACTGGGGTTTGTAGGAATTTTTTCTTCTGTAATATTGGGGCTTGAACCCCTGTCTTCACCCATGCTTTGAAAGAAGTTTGCTGCTGAGCTGTATCTCTAGCCTGTAGTTTTTTGTGCGTGATGGTTGTTGTAGTAGTACAACTCGTTATAAACATCTACACTTTACCGAACCTACTGAGTAAAATGCAAAAAAAAAAAAAATTGCTCATTTTTAATTTCCTGATGAGTCTAAAGTACCTCTTTTCCCTGAAGGTTCATGATGGTATGGCTAATCAGTTGTATCAGATCTCTTCTAGCTCTGACTCCTTTTTATTTAGGAACTGATGATACTGTTTTCTATGGATCATTGCTCCTTTGCGATCACTTACTCTAATCTCTTGAAGAATTTTTACTGTTCTCTCTTCAAAATTCTTTCCAAAACTCTTTGATTGCCTGAAAGTAGAATTATTTGTAGAAGGGAGTTTAATGACAGTGCAGAGTATTTCATAATTAGTTTTGGTGATTCCTTAAGTAGCCTAGTTGTAATTGGTGTAACTAACTGGTTCTTAGATGTTTGAATTCATTTTACAGAAGAATCTGCTGAGAAATCGATTGCTATCAGCATTGCACAAATGGAAAAACGTTTACTCCATGGCTTAATCCATAATGTTCTACCATATGTTGGTACTTCCGTAAAAACTTTAGTGTTAGCCTACAGCTCTGCAGTTTCCAGCAAAATGGTATGTATAAATTAATACTAGCTAGCTAGAGTATTAAGAAAAATAGCAGTGATGTGACTTCGATTTGCTTATTCCCATGTTTATTTAAGGGGAAGAGAAAAATCAAGTGTCTTCCCATGGGTAGATGTGCACTGCTAGCTTTCATGGAATTCCATTTCCTAGAGTATTCTTTGTAGCATAGGTATTATTGCCTGTCCTAGTTTGTTCTTCTTTCCTGTGACAAAACACTGATCACCACCAACTTGGGGAGGAAAGGGTTTACTCAGCTTACATCTCCCAGGTCGCAGTTCATCAGGGAGCCCAAGGTAGGAACTCAGGGCAGGAACCTGGAAGCAGGAGCTGGAGCACAGGCCATGGAGGGACGCTGCTTAATGCCTTGCTCCCTTGGCCCCTGCTCAGCCTGCTTTCTTAAGCAACACAGGCCCACCTGCCTAGGGGTGGCACTACCCACAGTGGGCTGGGCCCTCCCACATCTCTCATCAAGAAGATGCCCTTCAGACATGGCCACAGGCCAGTCCAATAGAGGCAATTCCCTGATTGAGGCTCCCTCAACCCGGGTGTGTCAAGTTGACACTAAAGCTATCCAGTACATTGCCTGTGTGTATAGATAAGGGAGCAGGAGCTAGGAGAGGTCAGATTTACTCAATTTTATAGATGTTAAGTGAAGCCTAGTTTTATATGGTTGTTGATAACATGGAAGACAAGGAAAGATGTGCAAATATTTCTGTAAAAATGTGCATTTTTTTTTTCTGAGTCTTATTTATAAGACATTTTGAGCCCAGGAGTTGAGGAGATAGGTGGCTCATTTGGTGAAATCCCTGTACACAAGCATGAGGACCTGAGGCAGGAGCTCCAGCTTCCATATAAAAGCTAGGTACAGTGGCAAGCACCGCTAACCCTAGTGCTGGGTAGAAGGTAGTGGTGAAGACAGGTGGATCCTTGGAGCTTATTAAGCTGCCCTAGCTGAATCCATGAGCTCCAAGTGCAGTGAGAGACGGAATGATGGATGATACCCTGACATCACCCTCTTGCCTACATGTTCATGAACAGACACACACACACACGAGCAAACAGAAAACAAAACAGCAACAAAAGAAATTTGAGCCCAGAGCACATATATTTTAATGCACTCCCTGAGTGATTTTTTTTCTTTTAGTACGCATGTAGGCTTGAGAAGAACCCCTAGGTTGTATTTACTATTGTTTATTGCTTGTTTAACTTCAGGTCCCAGATCCTCATAGTGACTTTTTTCCATTCTTAGGTTAGGCAGATTTTAGAGCTTTGTCCTAACCTGGAGCATCTGGATCTTACCCAAACTGACATTTCAGATTCTGCATTTGACAGGTTAGTTATTTTTAAATAGCTGGATAAATTCTAATTATGAATCATTAGAAGTGTTCTCTATTTTCTTATTTGCATAATTTCTGTTTACTCATACTATTATATTTTACTACCAAATCCCTACTGTGGGTGGCTATCACTTGATAGAATCCTCCCAAGCTCTTGCCTCTTGGCCAGGGGAGACAGCTGATCCAAAACACCTGCTTTGCCATCTGTGTGTTATGGTATGAAGTCTAGGCTTGCAAACCTAGACATGGTATTATCTGTTTTTAAGGTATTATTTGTGCTTTTAAGTGCCTTTTGGAAAAGATCCCTTTTAATTCATGCTTTTTTGGTTCAGTCCAGCTTTCTCTTAGCAGCTTGTCCTTCTTATTCCAGCCCACCCTTCATTCCCACTTCTGTGGTTTCCTACTTCATAAGTAGAGGTTCTCTGAGGGTCTCGCATCCATGGCTTTCTCCCATCCTGTCCTCTATTAACAGTATTGGTGTTTAATTACTACTCTTAGTATCTCTTTGTTTTCTTAGCACTGGAAATAGTCCCTGATAGTAGAAATTCCATAAATGTTTAAGTGATTTTATTATACTTAAAATCTTTCTAGTATTTATCTGTATACATGTGGTCTAATGCATTTGAGGAACTTACTAGTTTTGTTGCCTCTTAATTGTAGCTGGTCTTGGCTTGGTTGCTGCCAGAGTCTTCGGCATCTTGATCTGTCTGGATGTGAAAAAATAACAGATGTAGCTCTAGAGAAGGTTTCTAGAGCTCTTGGGATCCTGACATCTCATCAGAATAGCTTTTCGAAAACTTCTGCAAGCAAGATTACTGCAGCTCCGTGGACAGATAAAGACATTCCCGAGCAGTCCACTGAGCAGTATCCCTGTTTGCAGGATCTAACTGACAAAGGCATTGGCGGAGAGATCACTAATGAGCACGCCTGGACTAAACCTGAGCCTTCTGAAAGCTTCTCTGCTCCTTACGTGTGGGTGTTAGATGCTGAAGATTTGGCTGACATTGAAGATGCAGTAGAGTGGAGACACAGAAATGTTGAAAGCCTCTGTGTAGTGGAAACAGCCTCCAGCTTTGGGTGTTCTTCATCTGGTTGCTACAGTAAGGATGTTATTGGACTAAGGACTAGTGTCTGTTGGCAGCAGCATTGTACGTCTCCAGCCTTTGCATATTGTGGTCATTCATTCTGTTGTACAGGGACAGCTCTAAGAACTATGTCAGCACTCCCAACATCTTCTGCAATGTGTAGAAAAGCATTAAGGACTACATTGCCTAGGGGAAAAGACTTAGTTTATTTTGGGAATGAAAAATCTGACCAAGAGACTGGACGTGTACTTTTGTTCCTCAGTCTGTCTGGATGTTATCAGATCACAGACCATGGTCTCAGGTGAGTATTCAGTTACAGAGCAATTAGGCAATGGGCATGTTCTTGTTCTCAGAGGAAATATTAAAATTTTGATCTTTTTTTTTCCACTTGATTTATTTAAGCAAAGGGGTTAACCAAGCTTTGTTAGTGTTGAACCAGTATAATTTCTGATACCAGTATTAAGCTTCATCTTAGTTTAAATACATTGTGATATACAGAAGCATTTGCATTTACAAGTTTAGTAAGTACTAATAAGTAATTGGCCATTGCATTTTTGTAAGACATTCTGATAGGTAGATATATATGTAGGTTTTAGTCTCAAGGATGTGTTACAGAAGGAAATTTTGCTTTGCGGACTTGGGAAAACAATGTCCGTAGTAGCTTCATTATGATACACAGCTTCTAAGTGCTTGTAAACAAACCCAAAGTGCTGCTGAGCTAGAGTTTAGATTATGAAGCTAGAGTTTAGGATTTGGGGCTGCTGGTGATCAGTATCTACTTACTGATTCCCCCCCACCCACACACCTTTTGAGACAGGGTCTCACTCTAACCCAGACTGCACTTTTACCACAATCCTTCTTCGGCTTCTGAGTGTTGAGATTATAGGCATGAGCCACCGTGCCCAACTTAGTACTTTAAGTCATAAGGCTCTTCTTTTTTGTGTGCAGGCACACTCTTTATTTCTTTTTCTGTCCCCCTCCCCCTTTTTTTCCTTTTTCTTTCTCTCTGATTCAGGGTTTCGTTTCCAGGTTGGCCTCAAACTTGCTAAGTAGAAGAGGGCAGCGTTGCACCTCTGATTGTCCTGCCTCTACCTCCCAGGTGCTTGCAGGTGTGTACCACCACACCTGGTTTAATGCAGTGCTGAAGACCAAACTAAGGCTTGGTGCATGCTAGGCAAGAGCCCTAGCAACTGAGCTACATCCCAGCCTTGTAAGCACAATTCATAGCATATCAAACTAGTCACCCCTCCCCCTTTTTTCCCAGGGTAAAGGATAATTGTAGGCAAAATGATGAGTTGCTCTGAGAGGTGGATTTCTACAGCCAGGTCTTCCAGATGCTTTGTTGGACCCACTTGGAGCTGTTAGGCTATGTGTACTCTGATACAGTGTTGGGTTCACAGAATAGGGGGCTAGACTTGTTCCTGAGAGTGGAAGTGGGCTTGAGAGCTTGGTCAGGACTGAGACTTAAAGCTGGTGGATTGCCATGACTCCATAGGTCATTTATACAGAACCGGCCTTCTTCCGTATTCAGACATGTTCTTGTGCATGCTGTTTTGTTACCATGTAGCTCCGGTTGGTAGGGCAGGGTGCCCAGTCTTCCAGTCAGCTGGCTTTCCTGTATGACTCTTGATGCCTGTTTCTCCAAGTCCTACTCCTGCGATACCATATTTTAGCTATTTTGAATAGTGCCTCTGTAAGCATCTGCGTACAAGTATTTGTTTGAATCTCTCTTTGCATTTCTTCCATTTATTACATTATTTTTTATAGTTTTGTATGCCTTACAAAATTTATTCTTAAGTAGTTTATATTTTTGATGCTATTGTAAATTGAGTCATTTTCTTAATTTCCTTTTTTTTTAATGCCAGTGTATAGGGGGAAAATTGGTTTTGAGCACGGTCTCACCATGTAGCCTAGGGTCCCTCATAACTCTCCACCTCCTTTCTCAGCTTCCCAGCACCCTGATGATAAATGGACAGATGTTTAGGAATGGGACTGATTTTTTTTTTTTTGTCTTTTTTGTCTTTTAAGACAAAATAACAGCTCACGGAGAGCTGTTCTTTTGTCTTTTTTTTCAAGTAACCCAGACAAGCCCCATTGTCTGCTTACCCTTTTCATCCACAAGCTCGATTTACATGCTGATGTAAATCAAGCTGAGGCTCTCCTACCTCATAAACATCATATCCCACTGTGGGGTTCAGCACAGCCACTAAAGCCCCAATAGAAATCCTGAGGATCCTCCTGAATTAACTTCTTCCTAGACTCTCCTGTGTACATAGTCCTATCTAGCCCAGTGAACTGGGTATCAAATGTCACCTCTTATGCCTAGTCCCTCAGAATGCCTGTCCTTCCAGTCTTGATATACATGGGGACCTCAGCCTGTGATAAAGATGTGTCCCTGATTGTTTATATGATCCAGTCCCTTAAGGACAGATTTCCTTTGTTAGGCCTCAGGTTATGCAGACTTTATGCTAAGGAGAGATGAATAGTTGATGTTACTCAGGCTGTCTCGTAGGTAGCATATTTGGTTTCTGTGTTTTTTATTGGAGAATTTAATCCATTTACATGCAACATAATTCTGGAGAGGAAAAAACTATACCATTTTGATCATTTTTTTTTCATTGTTTTTAAGTCCTTTGTTCATTTTTTTTGTTATTTTTTAATTTGGTAATTGTAGTACCAAGTTACAATTCCTTTCTCATTATTGTTTATCTGTTACATATCTTTTGGTACATGCTTATTATGAGGCTTACATAAAAATACTGCAATTAGACTCTTTCTACACCAACTTCAGAACTAACCTCAGCTGTGTATAAAACAAGGGACATCTGGGGACACAAATGTGACTTGATAGGTCTTAGCATATATGATATAATACATAAAATCCAGTAGGGGGAGAGGGAGGTGCATAAAGGGGAGGGTGTTTAAATATGATTAAGATACACTGTATGAAATACACAAAAGTTCAATAAAAACATATGTATATTGAAAAATCTTCCACACTCTACCTCATTTCTGCTGCCTTTCATGTATTTGACTATTTTAGCTATTGTTATTTTTTATTGTTTTTGCTTATAGACTTCCATCATGAAGCTTAAATGATTCACACGATATTAACAATATTCAAGTGGTCTGGATTTGATGATATATTTACATTTAGCATTGAATTTTATAGTTCCAGAAGTTTCCTTATTTGTACTTAGCACTTTGTTTCTACTTGAAGAACTTCCTCAAGCATTTTTTTTTTGTAATGCAGATTTAGTGAGGATAAATTTCTTTAATTTTTCTTATCTGGGACACCATTCATTTTTGAAGAACAGTTCTGCTGGATATAGTGTGTAGTTGTCTTAGCTGACAGTTACTGTTTCTGACACCTTGACTGATTTATTCCATTATCTTCTGGCCTGCAAAGTATCTACTTGAAAAATCAGTCTAGTTGTGGTCTTAGTGCTTTTAAATTGTTTTTATAGTTTAACTAGAATGTACCTTTTGAAGGACCTCTTTTAATTGCATCTCTTCATGTCTTTGAACCTCATGGATTTGTACATCTATATGTCTTCTAACACTTGGCAAGTTTGTAGCAATTATTTCATTAAATAACTATTTGAGACAGGGTCTCCCTGTAGCCCCAGCTGTCCTGGAACTCACTATGTAGACCAGCTGGCCTTGAACTCACAGAGATCCGCCTGCCTCTGCTTCCCAGTGCTGGGATTAAAGGCATGTGCCACCACGCCCAGCTAGTAACTGATTTTTATGTGTTGCTTTGCTCTTATTTTGCTGAATTTTTAGGTCTAACAGCATTTTGCATGTGGTTTTCTTTTCCTTTTTTTTTTTCCTGTGCTGATGAGCTAACCCAGGATCCAGTATGTGCCAGACAAACACTCTACCACTGAGCTATATCCCTAAGTCTGTGTATAAATTCATTAAGGTTTTCTGCATATAATATGCCATCTATAAAGAGATCATTTTGATTATCACTTTCTACTTTGGATATTTTTTATTTCTTTTTGCTTATCTAATTATTCTGACTAAATTTGCTTTGTAGTAAGTTTGAAAACTGAGAAATATGTCTTCTAACTTGTGTTTTTCAAGATTGGCTCTTGGAAGTGGCTTGAGATTATGAATTTTGGAGGGACATTTTCATTTTTGTAAAGAATTTGTTTTTGATTTGATAGGTTGTATTGGTTGGTGTGTCAATAATACTGTCTTTCCAATCCATGAACGTGGGATGTCTTACCATTTATTGAAAATCATTTTAAATTACTTTCTGCAGTGTTTTGTAGCTTTGAGTATACATGTCTTTTACTTAGGTTAATTCCTCTGTATTTCACTGTCTTTGATGCTGCTGTAAATGGAATTATTTTCTCAGTTTATTTTTCAGATTTTTATTAGTGTATATACAACTGAGGTTTGTGTGTTGATTCCATCTCCTGACACTTTGCAGAATTAATTCGTTAATACTAATAGGATTTTTGTGGAATCCTTTATGATATTTTTATCTGACAGAATTTTACTTTTCCTTTTCCTTTTAGATACTGTTTACTTCTTTTTCTTGTCAAATTACTCTGAGCAGTACTTCTAATACTGTGTTAAATACAAGTGACACCCATGAACACTTATTTTATTACTGGTTTTATAGGAAAAACTTGGACTTTTATGACTGAGTAGTATGATGTTAGCTGTAGGTTTTCCATTTTTGACCTTTTTCATGAAGAAGTTTCCCTTACTGGATGTTTTTACCAATAAGAGATACTGAGTTTTTTTTCTCAAGACAATCATGTGGTTGTTTTGTTTTTTTTTCCTTAGCAGTGTATCATATTTTGCTGGTTTATATATATAATCCTTTCAGTGTGCTACTAGATTTAGTTTACTAATATTTCGATGAGGAATTTTGCCTGTGTTAATAAGGGACAGTGGCTTATAGCTTTCTTACTGTATTTTTGTCTGGCTTTGATTTCAGAGTAATAATGGTGGCCTTATTAGAATGAGTAGAGAATCTTCCTCTTTAGTATTTTGGCAGAATTTGAGAAGGTATAGTGTTAATTCTTCTTTAAATGTGTAGGAGAATTCATCAGTGAAACTTCTTGGTTTTGACCTCTTGTAAGAAGGTTTTGATTATTCAAAACTAAGCTAAGGGGATACTAAAAAAAAGATAAATTCAAATATAGCATGAAAACATTCCATTGTATGTATTAGCTGTTCTGTCAAAAATACAGTGCTGGCCGACCCGCTACCCACTCTGGGTCCTTGTCTGATTGAGTTGGCATGGGTCCTGTGCTCCATCTACAAAAGTTCAATAAAAAT